AGGATAATTGTGGGTATCACTGAAGACTGAATTCGGGGGACCTGCTAAATGTCAGGGGCGTGGGGAGAGACGGAGAGAGAGATGTTTGCATAAGAGGGCCAGGGGCACTTGTCTATCTCCCATATGGCCCTCATTATAATGAAGAACTCTTGTGAGTCAACACCATAGCATCCCTGAGTCAGTCAGCCACCGGAGACAATCCTATTTTAGACCGTATGTTTTCGCTCTCACCAATACACGAGACATTATAGCAGCATTTTCATGAGCTACTTAGGCTGAGATGCTGGGTGAGTGTGTGCACTAATATCTCTCTGTCTGTGGAGCTCAGGGTGTAAAATGTTTTAAAGGAACTACAATTACTGCAGACGAGTGGGTGGGCAGTTTCCGTGCAAGTTTTGAAACTTCACCAATAAATGATAGATTTTCTCGCCCGTTCCTTGCCGATGACAGCCCGTGTCATCTTGACATTTCCAATCTGTGTGGTATTTCCTAACAACATGGGCCAATCTTCATTTGATAGCCCTCGCACCTAATTAGACCGGCTCTAATGTTCCACTCGGCAGAGTGTCAAATCCAATGTCCAATTACACAGCAGATCAAGGCCAAAGGTCCGCCTCCACTACCTCTCGGGCTGATTATAGAAGATATGCCACAGTATACATCACGCAGGAAGAAATGCGTCTGTCAGAAGAAGGAAAGAGACGCACACGTACACATAAGGGGATCAATACCGCAGGCGAAGAGGCTGAGGGACTGAGGGTGGCTCTCTCTCAAACCCCGTCTGTCTATTTCAGACAGAGTCTCTCTGTTACACCAGGCAGACGCACAGAGGCCTCTCAGTGCTGAAGTCACACCACGATGAAGAATAGCAGGTCTGAACATTACCAGAATGTTAAAATCAATCAAGTCGAAGTGCTGCTGTACGCGTGTGTAGATACCTCGCTTGCAATCACATGTTCCATTTTTGGACTGAAATTGCAAAACACCTGTAAAAAAAACACAAAAGATGTGTATAGATAATCAACAAAGACCTCCAGCCCATCTTGAGTGACAAGCTAGTTAATGGAGTATTCACACCTTTCATTACAGTTTATAACCAAATCTAACAGAGCAGACCTCATCCAGACGGCTCTGCT